TATGGGATATGTTGCATAACATTTTTTTGTTTGCATAAAACCCACAGAATCCACAAACCTTGATCTAGACAGAAAGAATAAGTGTTTAACTTTTGGAAAAAGTTGAAAAATTCAGCGAAGGTTGAGAATTTTTAAATGGAATGATTTGACAAATGAAAACACTTATGATTTTTTTTTCGTGCCTAATCTCAGTCCAAAGCTTCACTTTGCCGCTGTTTCAAGTCACTGTTTTCCTTTTTAGCTTCATATCCATGCATGGCATTCCAGGCCATCTTCCACTAAGTGCATTCTAACTAGAGTGAAAATCTCCTTACCTGAATGAAAAATAATTTTGGTTTTCCGACGAGACTTTGGCACTTGTCTCCTCTGAAAAGACCAGTCAAATTCTTGATTGCCATAGCTCCATCGGTGCCATAGATAAGGCCCTCCTCTCCATGACTTAATAATATGCAGGCAAAACAAGCGGCATCATCATGGTTCTCAAGAGCAGCTATAAATAAAACACACTTTCCATTGTTGTGACAGAAATTCCTCTCATCCGTTCATAGGAAAAATACTGTATTTACTCTAATCTAATGCTCATCTTTTTTGCTAAATGACCTAGCCAACATTGATTTGTGTCGTAAAGTAATCTTAGTACTGAGCCAAAGCAAAAAGAGGAAGCCGCTTCAGGAGCTGCAGCTGGCGCTCCTCTTTGAGGGATGTCATCTCTAATTAAATGATGATGGTTCAATGCTATGTGATCCTGGGATTTATAGTTTGATGAGGCACCATCATTCTTTGGCAGAGAAGGCACAAAAACTTGTCAAACTACCGACCCCAGGATTCCATAGCATTGTATCAAGGCAATTAAAGTGGATTCATTCTACAGAATAGATCTACTCCAAGGTTTTCTTTTCCATTGCTGGATGCTTTGCTGCTCTAACACGAGGAATTCTAACCAGGCAGCAACAGTAATGCCCAGCTTTTTTGGCCAAATTACAAAGAGTGCACTTTTTTCCGCTGCGCATTACATTTGGCAGCAAATACTTTTTTGGGTTTAGGGTTTTGAAAATTGAGGTGTGCATTAAATTCGATGGCAGGTTAGACTTCAATAAATACAGGTAATATGAACCAAGTCTTATTTTAAATCACTGAAATACACCCAGAAAGAAGGGTGCACCCCAATTCTATAAACATTTACTCACAGCCAAGCTCCAGTTTGCTAAATATCGCTTAATTTCCAATATGATGTAGCCTTATGCAATGGTAAAACATTATTCTGATCAAAATCTGTACTAACATTCATTTAAGGAGAAATCCAGCAGCAATAGTGAACATGTGTAGATTTATCTGGTTCTTTGCTTGAAAGGTGGATCTCCCTCCCTTTCCTTATAAATGTTAAAAACAGGTGTCAGAAAGCACCACAAAATCTAATAAAATTACAGTACGTTATAGACAGAACAACAGCACATAGCTGTTTCTATTGCAAAGTTCTTGTGTACCAAGTTTCTAATTATACTGCTCTAAGACTTCACCTTTCCAAATGCCCAAGGAAATGCTATTTAACTGTAACAGTAAAAAACTAAGAAATCAAGTCAAGACATCCAAAATAATTAGCTTTCTTCTGTAGATTAAATCAAACTTGCCATTCTTTTTTTCATTACCTTCACCAAGTATTCTCTCCATATTATCACAAGTGAGATCATTATAGATAGAAACATCAAATCCTATGCTTCGAAAACATTTCTGCAGGTCTCCAGCATCTTTATCAGTGCCATTGCGTATTCCCATGCCTGCTAAGACAAAAAAGATGGTCAGAAATGATTACTTTAAGCACAGTATATATTAATGTATAAATCTAGAAATTTTAGTTAAAAATTGACTCAAAAACTTGGGTTGACCTATTCATGGATCAACGTAAGTACTGTATCTTAATTCATATCAAAGAAGAAACTACCACTTTCTCTGAATAGCGTGGGTGAAAGGTAAGAGTTTAGTTCATCCTGGGACTCTAAAAGAAGAATGGGCACCTTCTTCTGCTCTCCCTACTGTGATATTGTTTCTAGCCTTTTTGAATGCCTGGCTTAGAAAATGTCAATGGTGGTCAGGGTTCCTGAGGTGCTGCTGTTGCTTTCTTCTCTCTACTGAGGGCTCTTCCAGGCAGGACCTATATCCCAGGATCTTGACCCAGATAGATCTGATCCAAGGTTTCTGTTTATCCCAAATTATCTAGAAGTAGGGAATCATGTAATCCAGTTTAAAGCAGAAAACCTGGGATCAGATCCTGGGATATAGAGCCTGTCTGGAAGCGCTCTGAATTACCCTCAATTTATCAATGGGCCATATCAAAATCCAACATTTTGTCCCCAAAATCCATCCATGATTGATACATGAGGACAACTTATACATGCAAAAAAATAAATAAACTCAGACTCCTAATATATTGCATTTATATTCTGAGATTCTGAGTAGCCACACAATAGCCCATCTTTAATAATAATAATAATAATAATAATCATAATCATAATAACAACAACTTTATTCTTATACCCCGCCACCATCACCATCCCTGAAGGGACTCGGGGCAGCTTACATGGGACCAAATGTCCATAAGACAATAAACAAAACAATCCATCAAAACAAAAACACAATTAAAATAAAAACATTGTCAGAAAGAACATTTGTCGAGTTAAAAATAAAGTTAAATAGACATAAAAGTATAAAACATTAGCATTAAAACTCCATTCAATCAATGCTCAGAATCCAAGAACCAGGGATACTAAATTGGGCATGACCAAGCTATCAAAAAGGGCTGGGCATGGGAAATTGCAAACAGCAAATTATAGGGCCGAGGAATTGAGTGAGGTAAAGAGAGCAGAGTTCTATCTGGCTAACTAGGGACTGGGCATTTATAAATGAGGCTAATCATTCTTGCATGCTTGCTTAAACATCTAGGTTTCAGCTCCCTGCAAAAGGTAGACAGAGTGGAGACTTGCCTAATCTCCCCGGGGAAGGAGTTCCAAAGATCGGGGGCCACCAGCAAGAAGGCTCTCGCCCCTCTGCTTGTGACTGTAGTGGGAATGAGAGAAGAGCCTCCCTAGCAGATCTTAGAGCTCACACTAATTCATAGGGGGAGATGCGGTCACAAAGATAGGCAGGGCCTGAAAAGTTTAGGGCTTTGTAGGTGATGACTTCACTTTGAAATGGACCGGAAGCTGATCAACAGCCAGTGGAGCTGCTTTAATAGAGGCATCGTGCACCTCTATTAAAGCAGTTCAAATCCGTTTTGAAGGCATCATGAATGACGCCAGTTGGGAATTGGGCACAACCCTGATCTGACAGAGGGGCATGGCTTTCCAGATAGTCTTATTCACGATGCCTGCCTCCTTAACATGCAACACCTGCGCTGTTCGGCACATTACTTTTGAGGGTAATGTACACCTTCAACATTTTTGTAATGTGCACTTTCAAAATTGAGGTGCACATTACATTACACTTCAGTAAATATGGGTAATTTAGAACAGCTTCTTCCAACCAGATGCCTTCAAGATGCATTAATTAACTTTCATTACCCCTCTTGAACCTACCCTTCATTCTGACTAGCTGATGATGGGACACAATCCAACACATTTCAATGACATCAGGATGGGCATGCTGATTAAAATAATATTGCACAGAAGGAATATATTGGGTTGCTTAAGCAAGCATGCATACACAAGGAACAGTCTATCCCAACTTCACTGTAGTGTGCGTACATTGTGACTGCTTATGGAAGCTAGAGCTCTCTTCACATCTGTTGTCCCAACCAATTTTCTCTCACTGATCCTCATCCACCCTATTCCAGGGAAATGCATTAACAGACCCAAATAATGCTGGTGCCAGCCTTATGCAATGGTAAGGCATTGTTTCACTGATCAAATTCTGTCCTGACTGCCATTTAAAGAGAACTCAAGCAGCAAGTGTAAACATATGTAGACTTATTTAGTTGGCAGCAAGTACCACAAAATCAAGTAACATTCCAAATCTACAACACAGTTACATTATAGACAGAACAACAGCACATACCTGTTTCTATTGCAAAGTTCTTGTTGTTTATAATAACACATTTACCAAGCTTCTTGTAGTCCATACGATACCGGAAGGTTGGAGTAACAATTCGGTATTGGCTACTAGACTCTGGATGTTGATCATTCTTTGTTTTCCTGTGGAAATGTAGATAAATAAAGTTCACATTCAAATATTTCAAAGTATGGTTTCTGAGGTTAAATTCATAAGATTCACTTGAATTCAAGTTTGCATGGATGTTATTGGTTGGATTAACAAAATAATGAATCAAAATATAGGCTTTCAAAGTACTTAACTGATTTTCAGGCATTTATGATAAAAATGAAAACAACTTAGTAATAACTTACATCTACCTTGATGTATATAGCAAGGACAAAAATAGCAAGGACACGGGAAAGCTTATATGATTTATCAATTTATTGCATGTTAGAGAGTTTCAACCCTTGCATATTTTGAGTAATTGACACTCTAACATCACCTTCCCGGAGGCAAAATAGCTGAATACGCTTTTGAAATTACACAGCATCTTTCTATTACATCTACAACACAGGCATATTCTGGACATGGCCCACTGTTGAACCATATGATATTTTGAAGGCTATCATGATGAGTATTTTCTGGATATTGATGATTGCCTGCTCCTATCATTTGTCTTTGATAGTAATTGAATCATGGAATATTATAGTGAAGAAGATGGGCAGGAGATAATTTATTACTATACTATGTAAACTGCTAATAAAAATAAAAAAGAAACCAACTTTGCAAGTACAGTTTTCCTTGCTACTTTGTGGTTCGCTTTTCACGGACGCGCTGTTTTGCGGGTTTTTGCTTCCCAGTTCATGAATGGTTGCCGTTGCCCAGAGTGGCGTTCTAATCCTGTCTCCTGGCAATGATCGAGTGTGGAAGGGGGTTTCACCCTCCCCCTTTGGAGGGAGGCAGCCAATCAAGAGAGATTGCAAAGCAAAGCAGAGATAGCAAGCAAAAAAAAAGTGTGTGGTGTCTTTAAATCTCTCCTCGCTTCTGCCTCAACCTCGGATCTCGATATACATACATAGCATCCCTACTTCACGGATTTTCACTTTTCACGGGTGGTCCTGGAACATAACACCCGCAATAAATAAGGGAACGCTGTAGATCAAATATTTCTGGCTTGTGGCTTCACATGGTTTGCTCACTTTACGTTGCTGTGTGCCCAAGCAGTTTCCTACTTATGGAAAACCCCAAGGTGAATCTATCACAACCGTTTTTATTGGCATGATTTGTTTAGAGGTGGCTTGCCTTTGCCTTCTTCTGAGGGTAAGTAAACGAGACTTGCCCAAGGTCACCTAGTAGATTTCCCGAATAAGAGCTTGAACGCTGGTCTCCAAAGTCTTTGTCGAATACTCAAACTACTACCATCCTGGCTTTCAGTGACACCTTATGCATGGTGACTCAAAAAATGAATGTCACCATTTTCAATAGGAGTTACTCTGCCTCGAGTGCGTGATGCAAACTAAGTTCTACTGAATACTGGACTGTTTCTTTTAAGGGAATGGGATCATAAATATTTGGCCTCCTAGGGACTGTCAAAATCTGGTAGCACTCCTTTATCCCAACATGTCCCACAAAACAGATTGTTGGATTGTGCAAAAATTTTAAAAAAACCAATTACACAAACAATCATATAAAAACATTAATTTAAAGCAATTTTTAAAAAGGCAGTTAAAATAATGATATAAATATAAACCACTTCAATTAAAACTCACCCTAATGCAACAGATAGCTAATAGTCAAAAGCCTTGGTAAGCAGAAAGGGGTTTGCCTGCAATATGTGTGTGTGTGGGAGGGGAGGGGGGAGAGGAAGAGGCAGGGGGCCAACCTAGCTTTCCGTGTAAGGGAATTTCCCAGCCTCTTTTTTTTTTGTACTTAAAACCTGGCCAGGTTCATACTGGGCGATAATGACTTTCTTATAATCTGATAAACAGAGTTGGGGAAACAAAATCTGACTGGTTATTTACACATTCATTTCTATTTCTTCTTTAAACAAACTATATATTCAATATACCTTTGGTACGTCTTTGATCAGACAAGCCTGTTCTCAGACTGCTCTCCAGAAATCGAAGTGAATGTGTTCTAAATTTTCTACTGTTTATGATTCTATGCTAGACTTAGATTAACTGCTTCCAGTTTCAAACACCTATTCCCACCTGGGCCACAAGCCGATATATGATTGGATGACATCTTATGACAAAGAAAAAATGATCCAACCTATTTCCAGAGAATCTAAGCATGAAGTTCTTGTTACCAATGGGCCATTACTGTGGTCTAAGCAGAACAGATATTGCCAACATATTCACAGAAGCTGTCCTTTCCAATGGCATCTTTCATGTCTGTATTTGTCTCAGATGCACAGAGCTCCACACAACCCATGTTCTCCACATACACCGACAATACAATTTCGATGTTAGCATCATTTAAAAAAAACAAACAAACCAAAAACCAATAACACTGGAGTATTTTTTGTTAGAAGAAAATGCCTGATTAATGAAACATAACGATACAAAATAATACTGCCGTGAATTAACATTTCCTTGAGAAGTGATATTTTAGTGCTCTCATGTTTGAAAGATTTTCCTTTTTAATAAATAGGCGTTCTGGAAATTTGTCTTCTTTTGTTATACTACTTTGGGATATGACCCTGTTTTTCATTTCTTTTTGTTATTCTGTTATGCAGATGAGACATGACAACAAAATGCCTGACCATTTCCAGAAACTAAGTTATGACTAATTTTTGTTGCTGTTTATAACTCATTATGTTAATAATGGTGGCGGGAGGAAGAGGAAGACAAAAATATTCCACACACACAATGTACTGTTTACCTAATTGCTTATGTATGCATGTGAAAGAATTAATGCAATGTGATATGCTACTTCCTTTACAGGAAAGATTTAAGTAGGTTAGAATGCAAAAAGCCAGCACTGACAAAGAGGCAAAGCTGGGAAGTAACTTTGAGTTTTAGAAACAGAAAGATGCTAAGATGTGGTTCCTCCATAATGACATGATGGCAACGGTCTTGGATAGCAAAGTGATCCATTTAAGGTGGAATCAGGTGTCAAACAGGGATGTGTTATTGCCCCAACCTTATTTTCCATCTTTATCACTATCATATTTTATCTTGTTGATGGGAAGCTTCCCACTGGAGTGGAAATCATCTATCAGACAGATGGCAAGCTATTTAACCTCAGAAGACTGAAAGCCAAAAGCAAGGTTAGAACAACGTCTGTTATAGAACTCCAATATGCTGATGATAACATCATCTGTGCACATTCAGAAGAAGACCTACAAGCCACTCTAAACACCCTTGCAGAAGCATATGAGAAGCTCAGCCTGTCATTAAACATAGAGAAAACCAAAGTGTTCTTCCAGCAGGCACCTGCCAATCCGCCTGCAATACCAGAAATACAGCTTAATGG